AGTGGGTTAGAAACTTCTGTACGGTTATAATAAATTAATACACTCTCTGTTTAATTTTAATCCTAAATATATTGAAGTAAATATATAATAACGTGCTCTGAAAAAGCACAATATGCTGAACGATATGCCGAAAAGATTATTAAGAAGTTCTGAAAGTACAGAGGTAAAATATTTCAAGACGTCTAGTTATCAGCAATAATATTAAATTAATCATAAAAATGTTCAATGTTCTTAGGTCGATGTACGTGAAGATGAGGAACAAACCACTAAATTTCAAGAAATTATTGATTTACTTGTCGCTGCGGGTTACTTTAGAGCACGAATAAAAGGTTTATCAAATTTCGATAAGGTTTGTGATCTTCAATTTTTATTTTACTTTTTATTCAATTTATATATATATAATTTAAAAAATAATTCATTTGATTAGGTTGTCGGTGGAATGACCTGGTGCATAGAGTCATGTAATTTTGATGTAGATGTAGATCTGCTTTTTCAAGAGAATCTTACAATTGGTCAAAAAATGTATGTTACATCATTATCCTTGAAAATATAGATTTTATTTAGGATATTAATTTCCTTTTATGCATAATGTGTTATAACAAATCTTTTTATTTTTTAAATTCTGTTAGCTATAAAAAGTCTTCAATAATAACTTAAATATATAATTATATAAAATATATGTGTATTGCAGTTCCTTGACAGAAAAAATTGTAGCTATGCTTCCCAAAATGAACTGTCCATACCGAATAGAACCACATCAAATACAAGGTCTAGATTGTATTCATATATTCCCAGTTATTCAATGGCTAGTAAAGCGTTCTATGGAAATGCGACAGGAAATGGCAGATTTTGTGAGAGCTTTTGCATTAAATCAGTTTCATAAAAAACATACTTTTAGTGAAGATTCCGAGATTAGAGCAACAGCTAATGACAACATTATCAAAAATTTACGTTCAGTTAAGGTATAAATTATTATTATAAAGACATTTGTAAAAATGCTGTAAATATGTGATTAATATGCAATATTTTTTATATTCTTTAATGCACAATAGAAAGCTTACGAACCACGGCGTTTATTCAAACAAAAAGAGGATTTTGTAAAAGACGAATCAAATAGGTTCATCGGTACGGTATTAGAATATGAAGCACCATTTGAGGCTGTTAAAAATACAACAATAACAGAATCTAAAAGCAGTGATTCAAAAAATGAGTCCAATAATGAAAAAAATGAAAAGGTATTATTTATTATAAATGCATCACTTTTAATTTATCCGTTTGAAATATTTATTGATATAGTAGAAAAATTCATGCAATACAATTTACATTTTTTAGAACACCACTGAACAGATCACCGCTGCTCTATCTGTCATAGAAGAAAATTCGGTATGTACATTTTTAAAAATGTTACATGCTAAGAGAGAAAAGGTGCTTTCGAGACTGTTTTTTTAAATACTTTTTTTTTTATTAAGGGCAGCATATACTTGCACATTTTATTTGTAATACTTAAAAAAAATGTATTTAAAATTCACATGACACGTATTATTTGAAATATAGTCACTCTAAAAAACTATCTTTTTCTTTTAATTATAAATTATATTTTATAATATTATAACTATTAATTTTTCATACAGATGCGCTTAAATGTATATACACTTGGAAACATTGTTGGTATACAAGCGCAAGAAATTGCTAAAGTGGCAGAAAAATATGCAACTATGACTACTTCTAAAATAGAGGTAAATTTAAATAGAATATATTTTTATGCAATATAATTAAAGCATATATCATTTTACAATGTAACATTTTTATTAATATAGGATGGTGATGCAACAGATTCGTCGCGCGCTCTAATTGCATTACAGAAACAAAAAACAACATTGCAATCTAGAGTACGCAAGTTAACAAAAGAGAGAGATAACTTATGTGATAAACTTACTGAAATAGTAGAAAAGGTGAAAGAATATCGTACGAGAAGAGAAGTCATTGAACGCTCGTTTAAAAAAATTCGCGAAATTGGAATTAATGATAATAATAGGTATTTATCAGTAATAAAAATATAACTGATTATAAATAAAATATATTAAATAATATATATTAATTTTTTAGATATTAATAATTTTTTCTTTTTGTATTTGCTTAAATATGAAATAAGAATTTTTATTCAACTTTTAGTACCTTCAAACGATTAGAGGAACTTCTATCTGTACATGAAGGATTAAAGGAACAAGAACATAATTTCCGAGAACAATGTAAGTCGGATTTAAATCTTCTTCGAGGTATGTTACAAGAAATTGAAAATGGTGCTCCGATGGAAGAGGAAGATCGTGTCAAAGAATATGAAGAACAAAAGGAAATTATAACACGAGTGCGATTGCAATTGGCTAAAAAAAATAGAATTATTGCATCTTTAACGAGACAATTGGACGATGTTCCAGGACGCTCTGAATTGACACAATATCAACGACGTTTCATGGAACTCTATAATCAAGGTTAACTGGATTAATTTTTATTTACAGACATAAGAACAATTCTATAATTTATAAATATCTATTTTGCAAAATTTAGATTAAAGAAGTATATTACAGTTTCAGCTAAGCACAAAGAAACTAAACAATATTATACATTATACAATACCCTCGATGATACAAAACTATATATAAGTAAGGAATTGTCGTTGCTGAATTCTATTCAAGATAATTATAATGAGTACGTATTGTAGATATTACTTGTTTTTAAATATTTATAGTCTTAACATATATGTAACTTAATATGTTTTATGACAGAGCTATGGCATCAACAAGTGGCAAGGAACAGTTCCTGAAACAATTTGAGACAATTGTTGCAGGAGTGAAGCGCAATAAAGCGATGGTAACATGGAAAAACAAGTTTTCCCTTACTTCCATCATATTCAATGATAAATTCTGCAGTCACAAAATAATTTTAAATAAAATATTTTTTTAGGTGGAAAAACGGTGTACCGACGAAAAAGGAAGGCGAGATACGCTTAGTCGACAACTCGTCACTCTTGTAGAGCAACAACGCAAATATGTTACGGCAGTTAGACAGCTTACTATTGAATGTCGCAAAAATGAAGCTTTATTAGCTCAACTTCGTGGTCCATAAGTTTCTTTTAAAAAAAAAAAAAAAATGGAAACTAGAAAAATATTTACTCGTGATATGAAATTATGATAAACTACTTTTAAATAATTGTATCTAATAAAAATTTAGCTGTTTAATCCTTTCGCTATGTATGTAATGAATATATTGTGAAAATTAATATGATGCCAGAAATACTTTCAAATCATAACAGGAAGGACAATAAGTCAGTGTGCAGTTTTGTGATGCTCTAAAATTTTTTAGCACATCAAAAATCGCGCACTGACTCTCTTATTACTTTTCCCGTTTCGATTATTTTTATTCGACAGTATTTTATGTATGTAGAGATATGGCAGTTCAAGAATTTCTCAATAATAAATATATATATAT